GATTTTAGAATAGTCAAATGTTGTTTAGAAGGCGTCATATGTACTGTCGATTTATTAAATGTACTTTAGAAAGCATCATTTCAATCTTAGAAAGCGTCAAATAAACTTTAGATTAGTCAAAAGTACTTTAGAAAACATCAAATGTACTTTTGAAGCAAGCAAATGTACATTATAAAGTATCAAATGTACTTTAGAAAGTGTCAAATGTACTTTCGAAAATATCAAAAATACTTTCGACAATATCAAATATACTTTCGACAACATCAAATTAACTTTCGAAGATATCAAATGTACTTTAGAACATATCAAATGTACTTTAGATTCATATTCTAAGTCTCCCTTTAAATTGTTCATATTGCACCTAACATTTTTTTTTTAAGATTAAGAGATGTATATAGGTTGTAGTAATGTTTTTATTGAAGTTTTATATTACAATAAAGATCTAATGTAACGAACAGTTTTCACTGTCCAACTGGCATATTGTCAAGCGAAATTACAGCAGCGTGGAACGACGTACTGTGCTGCACCGATCTAGCGCAATCTCCACCATTAACAGCGGCGGCAGCGTCTTTTATTAGGCCCTCTAAATACTGCAACCTTTGCTCAATAACACCCGGTCCAATCCCGTCTGGAGTCCGTATATTTGACTTTACATTCGCCTTAATTTTTCCCCATATTATCTCTATGGGGTTAAACATAGGAGAGTATGGTCCAAGCCGCAATAAAGTGGACTCTGCACATACCTCGTGTAGCTTTGAATGGCATGGCGCGTTGTCGCACACAATAATGGCATCGGTAAGCTGATTACCCATTTCGCACCACCTATCTAAAACGGAGCGGAGCCAAGCGTTTGCGTCCTCAGACTTGAAGGATCCTCTTCTGGTAGTCATTTTGACTACACCAGACGCAGAAATGGCCCCAATAAGGTGCACGTTTGGCCCTTTAGCCACTGGTAAAACTTGTACCGCACGTTTTCCAACCTTAGCGCGACCTCGTGAGCGCCGACAAAATAAATTAAAATTTGTCTCGTCGATGTATAAAATCTGCTTGCCTTCCTGAATATATTGATTCAACGTTCATACGTATTCGCGGCGCTTTTCCTTATTTAGCTGCGAATTCATTGATTGAGGTTCCTTATGAATCCCCTTCAACGTAAAAAGTTGTCCTTGTAAATAGTTTCCCACGCTGGAAATGCACTCATCTTTTCTAAACGTTTGTTTAATTTTTTTCACGAATTTTTGTGAGTGTCATAGTGGCATCCTCCTCAATCCATTGGACCATCACTGCAACTTCATTGTCCGACAGCGCTCTTTCTTTTGTACCGCCTCGCCTTAGTGCTTGAGGAGTGCCAGAAGATACCCATACGTAAGCCGTTTTATATTTTACATTTAAAGACTCCGCCAGCTGCACCCAATCAAGCCCTTTATTGGCTGCCTCCACAATTCGCTTCCTGTCTTCAGCAGAGTATTTTATGTTGGCACGTCGCTCAACTGATTCGGCAACTGAAAGAAATTGAATCATTTTCATTAATGCAATAGTTTTTTAAATAAAATAATTGCTTTGCATTGCTTACCCGTTACATCGCTTCGACAAATTGGACAACTTGTTGCGGTTGGTACATTTTCAAAACAGTCAGCATGAAATAGGTGTCTGAATGGCTGTAACCTTTTCAATGCTCGACGCTTCATAGAGACGAGGCAAAATGCGCAGTTATCCTGAACTTGCATTGTTAACGACTACACGTGAGTATTTAAAATACTCGTAATATTTATTCTACATTTTACATTTTTTTTAAATGTTACTCGGTTATATTATATTACATACAGTAGATATTTTCTAAAGTGGATTTGATATTGTCGAAAGTAGATTTGATAGTGTCGAAAGTACTTTTGATATTTTCGAAAGTACATTTGACACTTTCTAAAGTTCATCTGATTTTTTCTAAAAAACATTTGGTGTTTTCAAAAGTACATTTGTTGCTTTCTGAAGTACATTTGACTAACCTAAAGTACATTTGACGCTTTCTGAAATCTAAGTGCTACTTTCTAAAATACATTTGATAATTCTAAAGTATTTTTGACATCTTCTAAAGAACATTTGACTATGCTAAAGTCCATATGATACCTTTTAAAATCGAATTGACGCTTTCTAAAATCGAATTGATGCTTTCTAAAATCCAACTGATACTTTCGAAAGTACTATTGGAAAAGGTGTAGTTCACACCTTGGGCAATTGGAATAACGAAAGTTCTCATACCTACCAGGTTCGTTTTAGGAATTTGTATGCTGCTACCACACATTTTTAATTGGGTCGGTTGGGGTCTTAGCAATGATCATAACGGTATTATTTTTTTGAGGGGGAGAAAATAACTGGTGTTATTGAAGTGCATAGTATCAGTTTTTTCATTTTCTTTACACTAAAATCTACTTTACATTTTGATGTCGTTTGAATGGTATTAAAAATATATATAGGTATTTTTGATATATACATATGTACCTGTTTTATTTTTTCTGTAAAGTTTATGAAAAAAATAAGCCTTTATAAAAAAATTACAAAGTTTTATAAAAAATTAAGTTCTGGCAACGCCGAATTCCAAAAGTGCAGCCAAAATCCAAGAAAATAAAGTATCTAGATAGGCCTTTTTTGACATTGAGTTGACTAAAGGGATCACATGAAAAGCGAAAACTGTTCACTGTAACGACCTGTACCCTAAGCCCTCTCTTTACATTCATTTCTAGTGAGACCTTCTCCCAAGCACAACATTATTGTAATAAAAAGCGAAAAGTTATGAACGTATAAAAGTAGTTAGAGAATAGGAAACCAAATAAAACCAAATGAATTTTACGTCTGAAGGTTAGTAAATAACGTTACAAAATGTTTGAAAAGAAAACCTCTAACAGGGATGTTTAAGATATAAATATGTAAATGTATTTTTTCGTTTATTTTTAAACATAATTTGAGGTGTTAAATGCAACAGTAACATCACTTTGTTGGATGCTGCCTTTAAACCTATTGGAGTTTACGTAGAAAAATATTAGCTATAGAATAAAACAGATTTTTTTTTTTAACACGCTGGTACATATTAGCTTCACCTCCATGTAAAAATTTCGAACTTTTTAATTAGATTTCACAGAAAGATTTTGAGTATGCAGTTTGGAGGCCCATTCAATTTAAGTATAATAGAGTGCAAGCTTAAAGAAGCTGGGATTTAGGTTGATTTTTGTAAATTTTTTTTGTTAAAGGTCTTGCTCATTTTCTTCATACCATCGAACATACTTCGGATGGAAGAAAATAGCTGCCACTGTCAAAAAAAAATTCTCAAAAATCAACGGTAAGTCCTAGCTGCTTCAAATTTTGTCCGCACTTTTGAATTTCGAAAGCACTGTGCAACGCAGAAAGAAGTTCTGCCCAAAAATACCATCGATCGTTCATATATGATATGCTGTAGGTATGGGCTTGTTCGAGATGCAATCACAACCGCGCTGTTGCGCGAATTATTAAAGTATCACGTTCGTTGTGAATTTCCAGCAACGTTTTATTAGTTGGCAAGTTGCAACAGTATTGCGAATTTTCATCAGTGCTGCTGCGAACAGGCCCTTTGTATATCAATATTTTTGTATGTCACAAGAGATATTTATATTACTTTTCTATTGACATGCAAATCCTTGAAATCTCTTAATTTTTTTATTAGATATGTAAGTTTGAAGAAATCTATTTTTTTGACCTTTGACCTTGAATAAAACTTAGTTTTTGTTTAACACAAAAATAAATTATATTGTTGTAATCTGTATGAATTCCTCTATAGAGCCCACTACTTTTTGTTTTGTATTTTTTGAGAAATTTACGTATTCTGCACTTGTTCGGTTTAAATAAAATTTAAAGACATCATAATTTATTTTATTTTATTTAAAACTAGCCGTCCTCGTATGCGCGATGCTTCGCCGATTGCGATTGACAACTAAACAGGTTGCCACCCTACTAAAAAATAATATATTATTGAGCATCTGGAGCCCTTTCATTTGACACCTCATTTCTTGTAATCTAACGAACAGCCCACATTCGACTAGGTGTATAGTGTCAAGTTAGCACTACATACCATTTTTTCTTAAAAAACGAGTTACAAATTTTTTCTTTCCACAACAAATTTAAAACAAAAACACTACAATTAATGCTGTAGTTAGCTTTTCCAATTTCAAAAATGTGTAGTGCTAACTTGACACTCGTGTTGTTCGGACGTTCCCCTTCGGACGTTCCGATTTTTTCCAATGGATAAAATTTTTTATTTAAGAATGAAAACACACTCGTTTTTTTAATGCAAATTGGGGTTTTATTGTAGATAAATCTACATCTATATGAAGGCCTTAATTAACGTTCGTTGAAGTTGTACATATCGACGCCTCCAAACCATACTATGCTAAGTTTGACTAAGCCTAAGCAGACATAGCATAGCATAGTATGGTTTGGAGACGTTGTGCGTACATAAAATTCTTTGCTAAATATGTGGATTAAATGCCTCTAAATAAATTAAAAATAATCACTTCAACTAAGTTTTTGAGTTCGCTATTTAAAAGAATATTTTATGTGCTACATCCTTATACTTATGTATGTATGTATGTATTTGTCTTAATGACTGATACAGTTTTTATTATTATTTCGCCATTTTTTTCAACCTTCCTTGGAATCACCTCCGAGATTACATAATTACTTTATAAATTTTGACCACTTACATATGCATGTACATTAGGGCGGGTCGATTGTCAGGGGCACAGAAAAATTAACAGAGGCACATCGCGATTATGATTATTTGGGTAATTTAAAGCATTTTTGCCCAAGAAACTATAGGTCTAAAATGATTTTCCTGCCAGCGATTTTTTCTATCTAGTTTTTTTTTTCAAAAAGTGGCTCACCTGTTTAAACAACTGTATTGAAAACTAGCCAAAATGTGAATCTGGGGGTTTTTGGGGTCAAGGAATCCATTTCTGGCATTAATTTTTTATTTTGAGGGCCTTCAGAAGGCCGTACTTTTTTTTTTGGATTTTAACGCATTTTTTCCGAAAATCGACAATATTATTGTGAAATCAGAGAAATTTCACTTTCTCATTTCAATTTCAATTTTTAAATAGCCTGAAATGTTCAGCGACCCCAAAAACCCCCAGATTCACATTTTGGCTAGTTTTCAATACAGTTGTTTCAACAGGTTAGCCACTTTTTGAAAAAAAAGACTAGATAGAAAAAATCGCTGGCTCGAAATTCATTTTAGACCTATGGTTTCTTGGGCAATAATGCTTGAAATGACCCAAATAACCATAATCGCGATGTGCCTTTGATGCAACAAATTTGACCCGCCCTAATGTACATACATATCTGTGTTCGTATGGAAAAGTAGCTTATGTCGAAAGGCCGGCTTTAGTATAATGCGGCAATCCCTTTATTTTTTAAACGACAAGGAATTTTTTGATGAGACTTAAAAAGAATATTGATTTGCTAGTATCGGAACTATTTCTTGCACGTTTATTTGCTAAAAGTTGTTTAACGGCTTAGCGCCCGTAAGTCATTCGCAATCGTATGCTGCGAATGCCGATTTATACTAAAGCCAGCCTTTCGACATAAGCTACTTTTCCATACGAACACAGATATGTATGTAGTTTCAATTTTTTATTTTTTCAAAAACATAGCTTATACCTACCACAACGAAAACCATGTAACTCAAAGTTTTAAATCTTGTAAAAGTTTTATAAAAAATTCACCAAATTTCAAGCAAATTTCATCAAAATTTTAAACTTTTTAATCAGATGTGAAAAGAGTAAAGATAATTGGTCCTTCGCGGACACCAATTGTGATTTTCAGGGAGCCTTATTGTAATGCACGCGTATCTATCTGTATACATATTTACATACATATCGTCGTTTAAAGTGAACAACCGCGTATCAGCAAAATGCAAAACTGCGTATGTGAAGTTGTTGGTTCTCTTTTTTTTATAAAGCAATCGCATATCTGCCTAGTATATTTCAGGACGAATGGATAAGGATTAAGCCAAGAGCTTGTGTGAGCAAATCCAATTTTTGGCAGCCAATGTCAGTTACGCGGTTTTGCAGAATCACGATACGCGGTTTTGTACTTTAACCGACGATATGCATCTACTTGAAGGTATGTTTTTCTGCCGTCAACAAAAAAAAAAAAAATACCGCCGTCATGTGCAACACAACATGTGGATCGCAAACAAAACAGGCAGAGAACCGAAAAGGCAAAAAACCATTGGCACTTTGTGTGTAAAAGCTGGAGATCAGACAGGATGGCAAATACACATACCTCATGGAATTAGGGACTCATATTGTTGTTGCTTTGCGGAATTGTTTTTGTGTGTTTCCCCTCTTGAATGTACCTACTTATTCTGCCTTCGTACTGAATGTACGCTGGCGTGAACTTCGATATTGTCGGCCTGTTGTTTTCTTGCAACTTCTTTGCTCAATCTCTTGGAGTGCATTTCATACACAAAACCTGCTTTAGATTCGCGTTGCACTCTGCTTGCGTACAGGTAAATTTTTGCCTAGGAAATGCGATGTTTTTATTTGGAAGTTGTGTAGAACAGAGGATGATGATAACGAAAACTGCAGGTACAAGCATTCACATCTGTGCATAAAAGCATAGGTACATATATACACAATATGTATGAATCTAAGAAGTTTTGACAAAACAACTTCTGTATGCGATTTTAAAATGCGTGATTTTAGATGAAAAGTTTATATAAGCTTCCATACAAAAGTTGAAAGCTGTAATT